GTTTGTAGTCGTTATTATGTGGTCTGCGAATATGGGTGACAAATAATGATGGTCTTTCTGCTGCCATAATATATGATGAATAGATCACAAGTTTTTTCCGCAAAAAGAATCCCTACTAGTTTCAGGTTTTACCAACAAGATTAGAGATGTCTTCATATGGAAGCATGGTCCTCTATCCAACCATAGTAATAGAGCATTTATGACGAGTTACAAAATATAAGATCATGTACGACAATACAGGCGGCTTGTCATCTGACTATGTTCATCTAAAAATACAAGGTCACCATACATCACTTACAAAGATAGTCGTGTGGAGGTGAAGAAAATTGCATGCTATACAACTTATTTCGTTGGCAACTTCCATTTAAAATGATTGGTTGCACTGCCTGGGCAGTTTAATGAGCTTTGGAGGCGATTTGAAATTAACTACATAAACATAATTAATAAGAGAATAACAAGGGCATAAGGTGCCAATCAAGTTTTTTGCAATCAGATGTAAGTGTTTCCAAATAGCCAAGAACGTCTTGTGTGCCCTCGCAAAAAAAAAAGCGTCTTGTGTGTGCCCAGACCCGCAGTGTGGCTTGGCGGGGGCCTGCGGTTTTAGATGTTAGGCTATGGTGCGAGGTCTGTTTGGTATTAGGCTCGGACTATTGGCACCCCCTCATCAAGTGAATAGGAGTAACTACAAATGTTGTCAAGATGATGGCTTCAGACGTACTGATGTATTATTTTATAAGGTCTTTGTGAATAATTAATAAACTATTTGCATGCATCGCCCAGATGCAGAGGCCGGGGGTCTTCCTCCTTTTATTAAAAAAATGTCTTGTGTCAGTAGGGTGGATATTCGGAAAATAAAAGTCACATTCATGGTTAGTAAAAAAATCAAAGAACATGGACTAAGAGCAACTCCAATAGCTTCCCCGTAAATCTTTTCGTAAAGTCGTTTTACGGGGTGTCTGTATAATTTAGAAGAAGTTGTCTGATAACTACTTTTCTAAGCTTCCGTAAAACTTCTTCCACTAAACCTACTGCTTCCAATTTCCCATTAAACAAGTCGATGACATGTGTGACAATGGCCAGCAAGGTGCGGCGCGGGGCGGTGCAGCTGTGGCCCGACACGGGGGCGCTACCGGTGGCCTGGTGTGGCGCTGGCGCGGGGGCGGTGCCAAATCCAATCCCTTTGACAAATCGGATGTAATATTAGATATCAATGTTCTATATATATAGAAATATCATAGATAGAATAGACATATAGAATTTTTGGTCGGCAAAAAGTTTAGACAGTTTTCTGCCCGTCAAATTATATTGGAAGGGTACCTTCCCGTAAAGGTGAGGAGTGTTGGAGGGGGGGGGGGAGAGGGGATTATATCGAATCCTGTAAGATAATCCCTGACATAGAAGCTGTTGGAGGGCTATTTTTGTCTCAACTCCTCATAATTGGAATTTTTCTAAAGTAAAAAAGCTATTGCGATTGCTCTAAGGGCATGAACAATGCTGGAATATGGATACAGAGCCCTCCAGCAAAAGTCGAGACTCATGAGCCTCATGAAAAAGAGTAGTTTGAGACATGTACATTAAATTTTTTTCCACAACCCAAGTTACCACTAATGGGTCTTATCAAGGAATAGAAAGTAGAGACTCTAGTACGTATACATATCTACTTTTTACTTTAACCTTTTCAGATTTTTACACCGGATCACACTTTTTCTCTCCAATCACCCACCTCCTGCTGAGTATCCCGCTTCCCCACCCGAACCTATTTATCTTAACATCCGATCCTACATGGCATGTGGGGCATCATACTAGGGCTTTGCATTGGTCATTGGCCATGTACTACCTCTTAGTGCTTTGGATTTATTTTTTGCATGGGTCACAAAATATATACTCTTCACTTCTTTTTTGTAGTTCCATGTACCTTAGAGCATCTATAGCCAGGCCTCTCAAACCCGCCTCATACGCCCCGGCGGGCCGTCCGGACACTGACTGATTACGTTTTTTCGTCCCAGACGAACGCCTCAGACGGGCCTCAAGCGCCCGGGCTGGACTGGCGCCCCATATCCAAGCCAAATATGGGGCGGATATGGGGCGCCCGGGCACGCCCGCCAAGTCAGACTGACGAAGGGGTCCCAGTCGAAAACTCCCTAAAACCCGGCGGTCCGAAGCTCGTCTCCTCCGTCGAACTGGTGGCGCCGCGTGGCGCAGCTCTGCCGGTCCGCGTAGTGCATTGTCCGGCTATTTAAGTCGACCGACGACACCGAAACCCTATCATCCATCCACATTTTTCTCCTCCTGTCCGCCGCCACCGCCACTTTCCACTCCACCGTCCGCCTAGTAGCCACGCCCGCACGCCGTCGGGTGAGGAGCGAGCCCTTTCTGATGCCGGATCGCCGGCTCGAGCTCCTGAGCAGATCCGGGCTAGGCGCGAAGCCCAGATCGCCGCGGGGCTACCTCCGAATGCAGTGGATCCAGAGAGGAGTTGGAGGAGGACGGCGACGACAAGGAGGAGGAGGATGTGGGGGACGCTGGCGACGGGGATTTGCAGGCGGGGCAGCATGCCATCCTCGATTTCCTCCGGTCGGAGTCAGCTGCGGAGGCAAGACGCCGTCGCCGACAGGAGATGGAGGCGCAAAAGGTCGCGGAGGAGGCGGAGAGTAGTTAGGGTAGTACGTAGGATTTCTTTTGCATGTTTTATATCGATCTAGATGATGAAATTTGAGAGAGGTGGATACAAAGTGGCTAATTTAAGGCGTGGCCGGCCAGTGCCCGTGACGGGCGTTTGAGAGGCCGGATTTGTCTGAGTCCGGATGTAGATGCTCTTATTGGCATGTCGAATATAACATATGCTAGAGCG